TCCAGACCGAGCTAATATAACTCCAGCGAGCAGCGACACGCTCAAACCAGCACGACTCTGTGGCTGCTGTTGTGTTTCCTCCCCAACACACAACAACGTGGTCAAGCTGCTCAGACATGTTCATCAGCACAAACCTATGTGAGCACCTGTTGTCATCTAATGTTGTCATTATTATGATGAAGATGAACAAAAAAACAGGAGTCTCCTCCTCAGCTCAGATCAACCCCATGATGCAGGAATCTGGCTGGAACAGGTGAGCATCACAGTAAACCAGTGGAGCAAACTGAGCTTTAAATATGTTGGTTTTATGCTCTTTTTCTGCTCCAAAACATGAAAGTTAACAGGTGAGATGTTCCATTTTCATTTAAGATAAAATGATATTTTTATTTTGTTGTTGGCCCGTGAGAAAAGATTTAACCTACAGTAAACAGGAAGTGGAAAGGCTGCAGATAGATGAATAGAATAGAAAATCCCTTTATTGTTCCTCAGTGGGGAAAGCTAGATGTCACAGCAGCGATGACACTTATTACAGGAGAAAAAAGGAGAATAAAAAATAAGAAAAATGAATAAACAAGAAAACATAAATCCTGAATAGATTTATAAAATGCTGATTATACCACAAGTAATGAATACCACGGATGCCTTTTATTTAAAACTGACTTGCTCGTGTGTAATTTGGTTATTCCACATTCAGTGTTAATGCAGAAATATGTTTGTTTCCAAATTTAAAGGTTCAAAATTGCATATATGTTGATAAAGAAAATGTGCAAATTTGCCGTCACTTTTTCTAAAATATTAAGTTTGGCCCTCGACTCTGTCCCAGAGTTTCATTTCGGCCCCGTGTGAGTTTGAGTTTGACACCCCTGACCTAGAGTAACGTGCCAGTCTGAGAAGTCTCCACACGGACGGTGCTTTCCGTGGGTGTGGGTCGCCCTCCAATCCCTCCCGTATTCCCAGATTTCCTGGAAAACCAGATATGAAGGTGATATTATTGTTCATGGAATTAAAATTCATGTTGAACTTAAGATTATTTCATCAAGTAGGACATGTGGTTAGCTGGCTCATGTAAAGCATGTCATGTCTTGAAAGAATCGGAATCGGGAATTGATAGGAACCGGAATCGAAACGAGGAATTGGAATCGGAATTGTTCAAAATCAAACGATTGCCCAACCCTATTAATGGTTAAAACATTTTTACGTCACGCTAAGAAAAACCTCTCTAAATATCTGTGTCATGGTCTGGGTTTTTTCTACCATTTCCTCTTTGGGTTTTGAGTCTCCTGCTGCAGGTGGGCGTGTCCGGAGGTGACCAGGCTGCAGACTATCTGCTCATCGGCCGGCCAGGGAGTATTTAAGCAGCTGAGAGACGCCCTCACTTCGCTGGATGATTACTCTACCTGGGTACCTTCTAACAGCCACCTAGCGTATAATATTCAAGCTCTTGAACCTTTCGAGTATTTGATGTTCTTTTTGGATTTTGGATTTTACATTTTTACCTCCTGCTCTTGTTCCCAGACAAACCTCCACCTTCTCCTCTGACTGGCAGTACTCTGGAACCCCTACCCTCTGGAACTCCAACCCCGCTCGTCTCTCAGTCCCTCCTTGGTCAAAAACCACCTCCGGTAGCCCACCTATGCTCCCCTGGATCTGCACGTCCTCAAGCTCAGCTCCCTCCACATCACACTCTTGGGATCTCCGCCCCAGGATAACCCCTCATCCCAGATCGGACCACTTCCCCCTCGAGCTCTCCCCCCTCTCCAGACTGTAAGTCCTACGCATAATTCAGATTCCCTGTTGTCCCCCCTTCGAACTGGATCTAACTCATCTGTCTGCAGATTCCCACACCTAATCCCTGTTCGAAGATCTCAGCTACGTTTATGCTGCTCCCTTGGTTTCCCCTTTTAATAAATTATTATTTTAAAACTCTTACCAATGCCTCTGTACTGATTCTGTATGTCGTGGGTTAGATACCTATCACACAACATGACAATCTGGGCGAAGGAGGGATGCCTAAGGTATTTTGGTAAAGCCGTTAAACTTCTGATTTGTCTAAATTTGTAGACACTAGTTAATAAAGGCTAGCTCACTTCCTGGGCTAGTCAGTTCTCAGCCAGCTTACTCGGTAAGGCTGACCGGGTGAGCAAAGCATTTGGAACCATCCTCCCTGCAACGCTTACGAGTGGTATCAGACGCATCAACTCATAAGACACAGAACGTCTAACTAGCAGACCCTGGTAGCAACTTATAGCTGGTGATATCTGAATTCAAAGGGAGCTACGACTCTTTGAGATTCCAGGAGCCACTCCACCCGGTGACATCACCAATCGGCCTTTCCTCTGGACTGCCAAGAGCTGTCTTCCAACACAGGTATAGTAGACCTGCACAATGGCGTGGGATGGTTTTATAAATAATTGATAGCTTGTTAAACCATACAGTCAAACTGATTTTACAACCCAGACATCACAAGATCTCTCAGATACTTAATACAATTTTTGCTACAAAACATAAAAGCTTACATTCCATCATTCATTGTCTCAGTAATCTTGTCCAGCCATCATTCATCATAATTTGTTCTGTGTCATCATTAGTTTAAAAATAAATTCATTTTCATAAACTATATTCTGACTCGGTCTGAATTAATATGAAGTGTGTGTTTCCCTGAATAGTCCAAGAAACCTAAGCTAATAAATCTAATATTCATAGACCAATCAGACGGATAATTCATATCACATCTTATTGATTATTTAATAAACGTAAACACTTCCATCATGCGAAATTGCAAACAAGCTTGGTTTTGATTGTAAACATTGTCACGGAACACTGACCCCTCCCCTCAGGTATCTTCCCTGAGACGCTTCTGCTGGAACCAGAATCCCGCGATGCCGGAGGAAACAAGATAGCGCTAAACACCGGTCAACGTTTTCTAGGTGCAAATGTCTTTTTCTTTCCGTGACTTCAAATGGTGTTTATCTTTTTGGGACTCTGGTAGTTTGTCCTAAAGTCGAAGTGGTAGCAGCTGGCTGTTTCTCCTGCTCTGGTATTATTGAGTGGAGAACCTCTCACACCAGTGGTGTTCTGTTACTAAATACGTGAGTGCAGAATGAATGGAGGACCCAGGGGGAGTGTGGGAGTTCAGCGAGACAGAAAACTGGACGTTCCAATGGTTGCTTTGGTCTGGGGCGTGTTATTGGTTTTTAGTCAAATGCGAGAGAACCACATCTCCACAATGTATTTATAGCTATACTATATTAAAACATTATTAAGAGGCATGAAAAAAATGTTTAATGCCAATTTGCATTCCAAATTTGCTATTGCTGCTTTAAAACACCCATCTCACATTAAAAACCAGTTCTTAAAGCCTACATGAAGCCATGTTGATGAAACAAACTTTAAGTTGTTTCATCAACATGGCTTAACTTAAAGTTATAGTTCAGATCTGGAGATCTAAAGTGACTTCAGAGTAAACAAACATGGTGGAGGAGGAGTGGGCAGCACACTTTCATCACATTAGTCTCTGACTGTAGAATTGTCATATTCAACAGGCAGCATTTAGAGGGGTCTCAGTGTCTTTCCAAGCAGACCAGAGTGCTTTTACCACACTACAGGAACATCTGAAAAGGTTGTTTTTAGAGCTGTTACGGTAATCTGGTGCATCCATCAGGGGTTCAGGAGCTGGTGATAGATCAGCCACATGATCCAGGCCTAACATTTCATAGATTGTCCATTCCAGCCCACTTCTACGTATCTGGACTTTCACTTGAAAGTGGGACAAACTGAAAACTGGGATTTAGTTTGCTTTGAAATTTAAACTGCTTTCTCCTCCAATGTAAACAAAAATGCTGTTTCTGGAGAAAGGGACCCAGATCATCAGTTTATGTAATCACTGGAGCCATCAAAACGACACGTCTCAAAAGCTGGACACTGAGTTGTTGCTGGTCTAGATGTAAATCAGGTAGAAGAAAACGCTCCACACTCACTGAATCAGAAAATCAGACCACCACAATATACAAGCTCTATACTAAAACTGTTGCAGCAGACACAACAATCAGCAGCTGCCTCTGCAGACATGCACCTAATAAAACCATCACCTGCACAGGTAAAAACAAAATGCACCAACTTCCATTAACTAAACAGTGTGGTAAATACATCACTAATCCCAGAAATAAGGGTGCATTCACTCATAAACTCATGTTGAGACAAGAAAAGCAACTTCATATCTTTGCATGAGCTGCTTTATTTCCACTTGTGAGACAGTAAACATGGTGAACAGCATTTAAAAACCTTATTTTGAAGCTCGAGCTCGCACAAATGCTTATGAGTAATTTTACCAGACTGATTAACACAAAAACAATCAGCCTTTTCTGGCCACATCCTCTGCAGCATCCAATCTATGCCAAAAAGCTCATCCTGAACCCCACATCATTGATTTTTTAAATGCATGAGTTAACCTTAGATGGAATATTTGATACATAAACTTAAAACCTTGTTATCCCAGAGCTACATAGAGTTTATTTGACAAATTAGCACAAAAACCATTGTGTGTGTGTGTGTGTGTTACATTTTTAAAAAGAAATTCAAAGTGATGAAACACAAGTTGTTCATTTTCCATCAAACTACTGCTTCTGTTTCTGCCCTCAACATTTTTTAAGAATGATATGTAACATGTGCTTTTAACAAATTAATACATATGTCATTTATTTTTTGCGTGATGCTGACGTGTCAGAGCATCAGCGAGTTCACTCCTGCAGCAGTAAAATAACTAGAGAATAAAACAAATCAAAATGATACACATATTTCACAATGCGTGTTGTTTTTGTGGAGTTTCAGATCCCCTTCTTCCAGAAAACAATGCCCCCCCCCCCCCCCCCCCCCCCCACACACACACACACACACACACTTCCCGTTCATCTCCAACAGAACAGTTTCAGAAGCATCAACACACAGCGTGAAGGAGAGGCGATGGCTCACAGTGTCCTACATTGCAGCAGCAGCTCTCATAATCCACATGGGCAGATTTTCTCTCTTTTTTCTCTCTCTCTCTTTTTATTTCCACATGGATGTCGGCCAGTTCAGAGGATTTCTCCGCTGTTGACAGCCTTTCATTGTCCAGATGAGAGGGCACACGCTCACCATGAGTTTTACGGCTGGTCCTACAAATGAAATTGCTCCAGACTAGGCAAACACGGGGAATCTTTATTACTGCAGACGTGGACAAAAGACACTTTGCAGGAAGGTTTCTGCAGAAGTCGTGTTCACTATGATTGTTGGTTGTGGACAACATTTCCAACACATTGTCCTAAAAGGTTTCTAGTTTCCTTCTGTATGTTGAAAGGCCTCACTTTCACATTTCAAGAATTCAGAACATTTTAAAATGTTTTCACACTATTTTTTCTCAGTTTAGTTTCCTTGAGTCAAAAAAGTGAGACAACTTCGGGAAGGGTTTACAAAATGCTTCCATCAGCTTGAAATAAAAAGTAGAGTCTGACCCCCTAAGCATGACTAAACTGCGAATAACGTAATAAAGTGCAAACTTTGGTCTAAATTGCAACAAAAGCAATGTTTAACATTTGCATGAATGTTATGCAAAGGTCATGGTTTATTTGCAGTTTCAAAAGCAACCAATTCAACAACTAAAAATGCTAATTAGATACAACCATGTCACATTCTGGCCTTACCTGTGGCCCACGTTTGGGTGAAACGGGTCAAAGCAAAGTTTTCCTATTTGAAATGAATCATGAAGGATGATGCACGACTTTGGTTGGTTTAAACGCTTCTCTGACATAATGCAGTGGAATGATGATTTATTAAAGCATGCTTCAACTGGTAAAACAGCCGTGAGGTTATCCTGTTATGTCACCAAGCTACAGCACTGGGTGCAACAGCCCTGTGTCACTTTTTTAATTGGGTGCAAAAACACATCCGTTTTAATGGCAGAAAGGTGCAAAAGTTAATCTGCACATGTAAAATCCGTCATTTGTGTCTGGTATCACTACAGTGCCAGAAAGCTGTGCTACAAAAGCTGAGAGAAAGTTTCGACAGTTTACGAGCAGGAAAAAAGCACGTATGGTTCTCACAAAAGGCCATTCACCTGATAAACATTTTTTGAATTCCTGCTTTTTTTTCATGATGGGCTTCTAATGGGCATCAAAAACAAAAAATAAATCATAAGCAGAAGCAAGAAAAATACACTTTCTAAAAAAAGCAAACCTCCGGACTTTACAGTAAAACATTCTTTGAGACATTTTTAGAGGAACAATCACATGTTGACAAATCCTTTAATATAATCATTTTCAACATTCATTGCTGTCCAGTTAGCTACTGCATCAAAAGCTGCTTCTAAGTCCTTAATGTAAACCAAAGTAAATAAACGCCTACACTGAAGTCCAAGCAGAAAACATAAATTACATTTGGAACTGGTTTGAAATCAAAACAAGCATTAAAAACAAAAAAAAAAAGCTCAAATCTCTACAGCATCAACAAGAAACTCTTCGGTTAAGCTGATAAATCATCAGTTCTATTCAGCATCAGGGCCTAAATACACCAGGCACACTCCATTTATTAAAAAAATATATCAGTGGATCATAAGTTTTTATCTTAATTGTTCAGATCTTCTAAACTGACATTCTGTAGGAAGGTTATGAACACGTTGTAAATGGCTCTTTTAATGGCCTCAGTTTGGATAGAAGCTAGATATACGTTTGGATAGGATTGATAAGCTAAAGACTAGTCTAACCACAGTTGATAGGGAGTCCAAGTCTCCTCCCCTTTTGGTCAGCTCAAATAAACAACAAAAGCGATAGAAATCATAGTTAAATGAAAAATAATTAAGTGTGTTTCAACCATGTCTGTCACTCAATTAGGGATTTAGCTTATAAAAACTTTTAACTTCCTCCTCAATTTCCCTCTGGGATCAATAAAGTATTTTTGAATTTGTATTGAATTGAACCCTCTCACTGTCCTATTGGGTGACCCCTCCAGCAAAGGTGACCCTTGAGAATGGTTGATGGTTTATCCCATGAAGTCCATGTGGCAGGGGTGAGGTGGTGCTCACTCCTTACCCCGGGGGGGGGGGGGGGGTGTCTTTACAGTATGTTCTAATGGGACACAGGCTTCAACACAAACAATTGTTTTCCGCTTGGTCGTAGTGCTCAACCAGTGTCTATTTAATATAGTGTAATGTTGTTTTTGGACGGTAAAAAGTGCAGGGGTCAAAACTTGACTTTGGAAAAAGTGTGTGTGTGTGTGTGTGTGTGTGTGTGTGTGTGTGTGTGTGTGTGTGTGTGTGTGTGTGTGTGTGTGTGTGTGTGTGTGTGTGTGAGAGAGACTGACATCAATTTGTTGAAACAAACAGTTGGAGTCATCTACATGTTTTCACTCAAAATCTGAGGTAACTTTTGCCGCCTGTTGAAAATAAGCCCTTTATTAGCAACAAACTGTCTTTAATCAGAAAAAAACTTTTTAGCACTCCAAAGACTCCCATTTATTTTCAGGCTGTGAGGGGCGTGACTTTAGCTCTGTATTGTTGGTTTCTTAAGACCAATCCTCAAAATTAGTTTCACATTTCATGATAATACTTAAAGTAGACATACACTTGGTATTTCAATAACTTTTCTGTGGTCTATGGCATGCATGAGTGCCTGGTGTGTCATTTCTGTGGAAGAAAAGCTCTGGCGCCCCTGTTTAAAGGAGTTAAAGTTAGTCGGAGGAGTGGGGGACAGAAAACAACAGGATGTAGTGTCTTACTTATTAATATTTGTGATATGCAAACGTATCGCCTCTGATTGGCTAACAGCAACGCAATTCTTCCACTGCCTCTAGTCGCTTTGTAACATTGAGGTTTTACCTCCACAAATAAGACGAGCCTGAAGGAGTTTTGGCATGTTGTGAAGTTGCTATTGCTTACAGTTAGCTTTTATTAGCCAAGATGCACCCCTGGCTGCTAAATCTGCAGTCACAAGCCAAGGTGGGTGGCTCCATGAATGCTAATTTACAGTCTGACATAGATCTGGCTTTTCCTGACACTGTCTATTTCCTGTTGGTGGCTAATGCAAGAAATAGGTGTAGCTGCATCTTACACCTACATGTTTCACCTTCAGGCTGCTAGTTAAGCTCAGAGGGACCCAAGTTATTTCAAGAAAGCCATTCGGCTTCCGGCTCTTGGAGAGTACAGACGCTTTTTTCTCTTCTCCTCTCCTGCTCTTCCCAAGGCTATATGTCCTGTGTCTGCCTGTGCACTGCGCTTCTCTGCATTTTTTGTGGAAACTGGAAATTATTAAACATGGATCTGGTCAGTTGGTCTCTCGATGAGAATGGGAGAAGGGGCTCCCGGATGCCCCTCTGGGACAGAGCCAGCTGGGTATATCATGGACTCCTGGAAACAGTGGAACCTGATATGCATTTCTCAACTGTCTGTGGAGGAGGCTGAAGATTTTTGGATATTCGTAGTTTTGGTGTCGGGATTCCTGCTGTTTGGCCTGAGTGGTTACCTGGCATACCGGAATATTAATGAGCTTTCGAGGAAAGTCGGCTTAATCCCGGAGCTCAGGGATGGAATGCATTGCGCTGTGAACTCACAGACTCATATAATTGTCGAGATGAGTCGTAGGCTTGGAACTTTGGCTTAGATTCAGGCTCTGGCACAGAAGGTTGATTCGATCAAGGAGAGAGTTGATGGATCAGCACGGATCGGTAGAGATTGATAACGACATTATTGGACCTACATGGGTTGACGACCGACAAAACTCTTAAGGTGGAGAGGAAATTAGGAAATGATCTCTGTCTGTACCCAAAACAATTCTTACTATCTGAATCTGGTGCCCTTGAAGCCTGTGAGGCTGAAGTGAAAATTCCCCCCTCAGAAGAAATGTGGAATGCTGCCGTCGCTATGGAAACCCTTTCTGCCCATCCCAGCCTGGGCGGGACTGTGGCTGTTGAAGGCCGTGGAACCGTATCTAGGACTCATTATGCTCTCTAAACCCATTATCTCCCTCCCCTCTCCAAACGGAGGTGATTAGCACTGCTATTGCGGCTGCATGCTCTGAAGTGAGGAGAGTCCCAACACTACCCCCCACCCCCCACCTAGTGGACATTTATGTTATGTAATGTCTGAAGTCTGTGTGCATATTTGTCTGAGGTGTTTTTTTTATTTTTTGCATAGCAAAGCTGCCCTCTGTCGGGGGTAACTCTGAAGTGCCTTTTTTCCCCTCCCCCTGACTCTATCCTCATATAAACCCTCTTGATCTATAACGGTAGCACGACTCGTGTTGCGAATGACCACAGTCACCAATTCTTGTCATGTGTCTATGTATGTATGTCTGATCTTAGAATTGTGTGTACTGAAACAGCTGAATTTCCCTCTGGGATTAATAAAGTATTTTTGAATTGAATTGAATTACTAAATGTTTCTCAGTAAACCTCCACTTTAACGTAATATTAAATCCTTGCCAGAAGACACCTGAAACTAGAGCACTTAGCTTTAAACCTTGGAGAAGAATCACTGTCAGATCAGTCATATTTGCAAGAGGAGCAGTGTAGCTCATCTTTTGTCCAAATAACATGACCATGCAGGTACTTTTATATAGAGAAGGGGTTTCAGTGTGGTTTGAGGAAGTCCCAGTTCACCAGGCAAAATAATTATGCTGATATTGAACTTGAGTCTCCCCCTCTGTCAGTTTTATGGATGTGCCCAATGGCTCTAAAACAATCTTATCAGATACCTCTGCCACGTGTGGTGTATTAAAGATCAACTTAATTTTTTCAACACATTTGCAGCACTCGCTAGTAAAAAATGTATTTCTTATGCGTCAATCGTTGTGGGAAGAAAGCTCTTGTGCTCCTGTTTCAGGAAGTAGAAGTTATCCAGAGAGGTGAGATGAAGATGGCAGGATCTGGAGCCTTACTTCCTGATATTTGGACATCTCTCCTCTGATTGGCTAACAGCAATACGACTCTACCACTGACTCTGTTTGCTCTGCAACGTTGATGTTGTAGCTCCACATATAACACAACCCTGAAGGAGTTCTGCAATGTTGTAGAGTTGCTAATGCTAACGGTTAGCTTCTACCAGGCAAGACGTGCTCTGGTGTCTCCTAGAAGCTAAACCAACAACAGCCTTCCTCGTCATGAGCCAAGACGGGTGAGTCCATGAATGGTCATTTTCAGTGAGATGTAGATCTGACTGGCTTTTCTAATCCGAGTGTTTTCCTGTCTATTTTCTATCCGTGGTTAATGCAGGAAGTGGGGGCAGGGCTGCCAACTCTCATGCATTGAACATGAGACACACAGCTCTTTTGGGCCACAGATGGAGGCAATACAGTTTGCACGCACCCAGGCAAAATGGTCTCCCCCTCCCCACGCATGGAAAAGTTCTTAAGTTGGCCGCCCTGAGAAGGGCTAAAAGACAATTTTCATGTTAAACTCGGCGATTAATCGTGTTTTAAAAATATCACAAAAAGAAAACGGTTTTTCTGTGAACTTGGCCCTTAACCCTCTCACGTTCAAAATAAGTTTTGATAAAAGGACGAACAACTGAGTCCTTCAGGGATACTTCTGAGTTAAAAATGCTCATGAAATACTTATGGAGAGTAACCAGGTAGGTACAGTAGGTTTTAATTGTTACAAATCTGCAACGCCTGCCTCCAGAGGGTTAAAAGAGCTCTGGTCTGCTTGGAAGCACACTGAGACATCTCCTTTCATAAATTTGGGACAAACATTGGATTGCCGTGGTCCAATATGGAGGATAAATGAGCGTGCTGCTGCCTGTTGAATGTGAAGCTTAGCCATTCCGAAAGTGGCAGTATGGTGCTGCATGCTCCTCCTTCGACACGTTTCTTTCCTCCAAAGTCCCGTTTTATCTTGAGAGGTTTTGCAAGATCCTTTAAAGAGCTAACCAGTAGATAATAGTTGTTCATCTTTCCACAGAAAACCACTTCAAAAGACCTGAATAATTCCTCTAAGACCCAACTTCATCTTCAACATTCAGTTTGTCCAGAGTGCCTCTCTCTCCTGACTTTGCGCCTCAATATGTTTTATTAGTAATGACACTTGGAGAAACACCAGAAGACCAGAACTGCTCATTGCCAACACTCATTCATAATCATGAATAATTACAACTCACAAGAGGAATTAGTGTTTGTCCTTGAGGGTCAGAACCAGCCCCCGCCCTCGCTGAGAGTTCAGCTGGCGTGGACTCAGCAGCACTGGGCAGCTGTCCGACACTGCTATTAACCTGAGCAGAGCCAGCCCATTCACACAGCTGTTTGGGATGTGGCAGCTGCTCAAGGGGCAATGGGGTATTAGACATAGATTTACAAGAATGAAAAAAATAAAAAAGCCCTCCCTCCCTTATAATCGCCAGTTTTTGCACACGCAACACAAGCCACCACCACAGAAACGCACACACGGTCTTATGCAATGTTATCTGCACGCTGCATTGGCTCGTTTTGATGACAGAAGCATGCACTGGCACGTCAGTTCACTGCTCAAGCTCATGCATAATATTTAAACAACCTGCCACATCTGGATGGCTTGAGATGATCAGCAGCGAGGCCTGCCAGTGTCCACTGCAAACTTCGCCTAGTCTTCCCGCACGCCTTCCTCTGCGTGCTGCTGCGCTTCAAACGGCAGAGGAGCTCCCAGAATGCAACGCTCGACCGTCATTTTCTACACATGAAAGCCTTTTTGAGCTCACGCTAACAAGGATTACACTGCGGCACTGTCAAAATAAGGAATGCAACCAATAAGAAACACTTTCAAAGAGGTGTCCAGTGACAGGTGAGCTGCTGACAGAAAAAGAAACACGAGACGACGGCAGACAAATGGAACATCATTCTTCCTCTGATGATTTGAAGTCTCCTGGGAAATCCTCAGGGTTCAAACTGGTTGCTAGAATTTGTAAATCCAAAAAACACCAAGTCTTAGTGCGCTGCTACCTTTGCCTTTAAGATTCAAATGAAGCAACAGTTCAGAACGCTCAGCTCTTGATTCTTTTAGATGAAATCCCCCTAGGAATCAAACGCCCGGTCTTCACAGATCTCCAAAGCAGCCTTACTGGCACCCCCAAATACTTCCACATTTGCATCAATCCAAGGAACAACATTTCCGGGCATGTAGGCTGAGCAATTAGCCAGACCCACAATGTCCACAGGTCGCAGTACTCTGTCCCACATGTTGAACTGGCTGAGCTCGCCCACGAAGGCTTGGGTGGCATCAAAACGGCCTCCGACGATATCCTTAAACAAGAGACAGAACAGAGTTAAAAATCTGCCAGAGATCTGACTATAATTAGGCAGGAATAAAAAACAGACAAGCAGCAGCGGGGAATTTTATTCAGTGTGTCACCTCTTTAAAACGCTGTCTCCCAATACCATGCAATCTCCTGCAACCTCTTATGAGTTTGTCACCAAAATAAATAAAAAAGCAATATCATCCCCTCGAGCTATAAATGCTTTGTGAGAGAAAAGATCTCAGCAGAGTTAATTCTTATGTCCCCATACATTTTTTAATGATGTGTGCTGTTGTGATGGAGCGACTCTGTAGAATACATTTTGCTCCCACGGGTTTTATGTGCAGTTTATAACTAGATGAATGAGGTGAAACTGTAGCGTGAGAAGGGCTTAGCTAACTCCTCTCCCTTGCTCCCTGCTCTGCACATCCGGCACTGAGACAAACATAAATCGGAGGAAAAACTCACACACACACTCTTTATTATTGCCTCACCTGTTCCTGGCCCAGGATGATCACCCCTCCAGGTTTAATTGGGTGCCAGGGGGCCAGGTTGTCTCCAGTGCCGAGACGCTCACCGTCCTGGTAAGCCTCCCAGAAGCCATCTCTGGTCGTCCAGGTAATGCAGATGTGGTGCCAGCGCCCGTCACTCACAGCCAGAGGCAGCTGGGCCACCTGGTTTAAAGTTAGGTGGGAAAGGGAGGGGCAAGAATACCAAAAGGAGTGACAGGGAGTGGCAACAGAGAAAGAAAGATGTGGCGTATTAGAAATAAGGACAGCAATTAGAAGGGTTACAGCTTCAAAGAGACATCCCAACCCCCTCGAGAATCCTCTAAACCAAGGCAACATATAAAATTTTGATTACCCAGGTGACATCAAGGGATTAATGCACCCTTCAAAGCAATTAGATGGCTAACAGCAAAACTCTGTCTTCTACTGCCTTTCTGCTTTGTTCGCAGATCAGAGAAAAACAACTGGTTATTCTACTGACTGGTGACATCATGGCCCTCTGAGGATTCAGCGAAACACACACAAGATTATGAATGTGCACTGTAACTCATCAGCCTTTTTATTATGAGCCTAAAGGTCTCCTTCACACACTCATATCTTTGCAGCCCATGCAGCATTGGATGCAAAAAGACCTGAGAAAATGGAAGTCATGGAAGATACAAATTCAAGTCACTCCACAATTACAGACCCAATTGACCTCAATGGAGACACCAGGTGGTCTGTTTTCATTAGTGGGACAAAAGGGAACCCTCCGGGTGTTTTGATAGCGTCTGTAGTATGAGTCATTACAGTTTCTGGAGATTACATTTCAAAATATCAAATACTCTGCAGCAGCAAAAACATGGCAGCTAAGATGTTTTGTAAGAAAGAAAAATGTTTCTACGGGGCTACAGTGGCTCACTAGTCTACTCATTCCACCTAAGTGGCTTCGTTCACAATACAGAAGTGCATCAGCTTCTTGTATTTAGAAAACCCGCACAAGTCTCTAAAATTTCACAAAATAATTCCTGATCCTTTGAAGTTTGTTGCTTCACATTGCAGATGCAAAAGTGCATTTATGCTAAAAGGTGTGGTTTACTCATTTATTTAATACATTTGCAGTGTTCATAGTGTGAATCAATGCCTTAAAATGATCATGCTCATGTTCTGAGATGCAGCAGTTTGCTGGTGCAAAGGTGGGCTGAAAACAGCAGGATTACTCATTATTATTAATGATATGCACACACCTCATTTCTAATTGGCTAAAAGTACACGTTCAGCCATCTTGCAAAGTCGCTATCACAAAGACACTCTGCTCTCTCCTCACTGCAACAAAAAAAACCTTCCCACGGGTGGGTGTGAGCCAAGATAGGTGAGGCCATGAACTCAAATTCACAGAGTGACATCACAGTGTGATGATTTTCAAATCATTTCACCATCCATTTTCTATCAGAAGCTAACACAGGGAACATTTTTCATGTTCAGCCTGCATGGAAACTTCAGTGACCGATAATAATCATAAATATCCATCCATCCATCCATCCATTTTCATCCGCTTATAAGGAGTCGGGTCACGAGGGCGGTAGCCTAAGTCGAGAGGCCCAGACTTCCCTCTCCGCAGCTACTTGGGCCAGCTCCTCTGGGGGAATCCCAAGGCGTTCCCTGGCCAGGTGAGAGACATAGTCCCTCCAATGTGTCCTAGGTCTACCTTTAGGCCTCCTCCCGGTTGGACATGCCCGGAAAACCTCACCAGGGAGGCATCCAGGAGTCATCCTGACCAGATGCCTGAGCCACCTCAACTGGCTCCTCTCGATGTGGAGGAGCAGCGGGTCTACTCCGAGCCCCTCCCGGGTGACCGAGCTTCTCACCCTATCTCTAAGGGAGAGCCCAGCCACTCTTCGGAGAAAACTCATTTTGGCCGCTTGTATCCGTGATCTCGTTCTTTCGGTCACTACCCAAAGCTCATGATCATAGGTGAGGGTAGGAACGTAGATCGACCGGTAAATCTAGAGCTTCGCCTTCTGACTCAGCTCTCTCTTCACCAAGACAGACCGGTACAACGCCCGCATCACTGCAGATGCAGCACCAATCTGCCTATCGATCTCACGCTCTAGTTTTCCCTCACTCGTGAACAAGACCCCGAGATACTTAAACTCCTCCACTTGGGGCAGGACCTCATCCCTGACCCAGAGAAGGCATTCTACCCTTTTTCCGAATCAAGACCATGGTCTCAGATTAAGAGGAGCTGATTCTCATCCCAGCTGCTTTACACTCGGCTGCGAACCGCTCCAGCGAAAGCTGAAGATCACATTCTGATGAAGCCAACAGGACCACATCATCGGCAAAAAGCAGAGACCTGATCCTCAGGCCACCAAAACAGATGCCCTCCACACCTTGGCTGCACCTAGAAATTCTGTCCATAAAGGTTATGCACAGAATCGGTGACAAAGGGCAGCTTTGGCAGAGTCCAACTCTCACTGGGAACGAGCTTGACTTACTGCCGGCAATGTGGACCAACCTCTGACACAGGTCATACAGGGACCTAACAGCCCATATCAGAGGGCCTGGTACCCCATACTGCCGGAGTACCCCCCACAGGGCCCCCCGAGGGACGCGGTCAAACGCCTTCTCCAAATCCACAAAGCACATGTAGACTGGTTGGGCAAATTCCCACGCACCCTCCAGGATCCCGCTAAGGGTATAGAGCTGGTCCAGTGTTCCACGGCCAGGACTAAAACCACATTGTTCCTCCTGAATCTGAGGTTCAACAATCCGACGGACCCTCCTCTCCAGAACCTCTGAATAGACCTTACGAGGAAGGCTCAGGAGTGTGATCCCCCTGTAGTTGGAACACACCCTATGGCCCCCCTTTTTTAAATAAGGGAAACACCACCCTGGTCTGCCAGTCCAGTGGGACTGCCCCTGATGTCCACGTGATATTGCAGAGCCGCGTCAGCCAACACAGCCCCACAACATCCAGAGCCTTAAGGAACTCCTGGCGGATCTCATCCAACACTGGGGACTTGCCACAGAGGAGCTTTTTAGCCACCTCAGTGACCTCAGCACCAGAAATTTGAGGCCAACCCAAAGTCCCAAGACTCTGCTTCCTCACTGGAAGACGTGTCGGTGGGATTGAGGAGGTCTTCGAAGTATTCTGCCCACCAATCCACAACGTCCTGAGTAGAGGTCAGCAGCACACCGTCCCCAATATAGATAGTGTTGGTAGGGCACTGCTTCCCCCCCTGAGGTGCCGGATGGTGGACCAGAATCTCCTCGAAGCCGTACGGAAGTCTTGCTCCGTGGTCTCACCGAACTCCTCCCATGCCCAGGTTTTTGCCTCGGCAACCACCCGAGCCGCATTCCGTTTGGACTGCCGGTACACGTCAGCTGCCTCTGGAGTCCCACAGGCCAAAAAGACCTGATAGGACTCTTTCTTCAGCTTGACAGCATCCCTAACTGCCGGTGTCCACCAGCAGGTTCGGGGGTTGCCACCATGACAGGCACCGACAATCCTGTGACCACAGCTCCGGTCGGCCGCCTCAACAATGGAGGCACGGAACAGGGTCCATTCAGACTCAATGTCCCCCGCCTCCCCCGGAACATTTTGGAAGTTCTGTCGGAGGTGGGAATTGAAGCTCCTTCTGACAGGAGACTCTGCCAGACGTTCCCAGCAGACCCTCGCGATTCGTTTGGGCCTGCCTGGTCTGACCAGCATCCTCCCCCACCATCTGATTCAACTCACCACCAGGTAGTGGTCAGTTGACAGCTCCGCCCCTCTCTTCACCCGAGTGTCCAAGACATGCAGGTCAGATGAAACAACAACAAAGTCGATCATCGAGCTGCGGCCTAAGGTATCCTGGTGCCAATAGCACATATGGACACCTTTATGTCTGAACATGGTGTTCATTATGGACAATCCTTGACTGGCACAGAAGTCCAATAACAAAACACCACTCAAATTCAGATCAGGGGAGTCGTTCCTCCCAACCACACCTCTCCAGGTCCCACTGTCGTTGCCCACGTGAGCGTTAAAGTCCCCCAGCAGAACGAGAGATTCACCGGAAGGTGCACTCTCTAGCACCTCCTCCAAGGTCTCCAAAAAGGGTGGGTAGTATGAACTACAGTTTGGTGCATAAGCACAGACCACAGTCAGAACCCGTCCCCCCACACACTGGCGGAGGGAGGCTACCCTCTCAATAACGGGGTAAATCCCAACGTACAGGAACCAAGATGGGAGGCAACTAGTATGCCCACCCCTGCTCGGCGCCTCACAGTGGGAGCAACTCCAGAGTGGTAGAAAGTCCAAACCCTCTCAAGGGGGTGGGGGTGGGGTAGGGTTGGGACTCTCCTCACTTCAGAGGCACTGTTTAGAAATTGTAATGCAGTAACTATGGTGAGGTTCAGTGAAAGGATGCAATGATGATGATGTGATTTAAAAAATGAAGTATCAGTGCAACCAGTTATTGCACCTTTAAAACACAATTTTCTATATTGTTTTAGCAATTCTAAAATCTGTTTTTCTTTTGCATCTTTTTACCTAAAAATTAAGGTTACAAATAGCCTATTAGAGAAACCTTTTTGCAGACTGGTGTGATTTAAAAAAAACATTTACAACATTCAAAAACAAACATGCTGAACTGTATTTGAGTCAATATTGATATACCCCCCCCCCCAAAGGATTATTAGGAACACCACAATAATACAGTATTTGACCTTCTTTCGCCTTCAGAACTGCCTTAATTCTACGTGGTACTGATTCAACAAGGTGCTGAAAGCATTCTTTAAAAATGTTGGCCCATGTTGATAGGATAGCATCTTGCAGTTGATGGAGATTTGTGGGATGCACATCCATGGCACGAAGCTCCCATTCCACCACATCCCAAAGATGCTCTATCGGGTTGAGATCTGGTGACTGTGGGGCCCGTTGTAGTACAGTGAACTCATTGTCATGTTCAAGAAAACAATTTGAAATGATTGGAGCTTTATGACATGTCACATTATCCTGCTGGAAGTATCCATCAGAGGATGGGTACATGGTGGTCATGAAGGGATGGACATGGTCAGAACCAATGCTCAAGTAGCCTGTGGCATTTAAACCATGCCCAATTGGCACCAAGGGGCCTTAAGTATGCCAAGAAAACATCCCCTACACCATGACACCACCACCACCAGCCTGCACAGTGGTA